GAGTAGAGGCAAATATGGAAGACAATACAAAGCTGAGTTTAATTAATACAGGCTTTATTGATGTAGCATGTGACTGTGTAACACGTGTGTTCATTTGTCTGTTGGCTCAGCAAAATATCTCATGAGCCAATAGATGGAGTTTCATGAAACTCAGACAGTAATTGTTGAATGAAGGTTAATTAATTTTGCAGTCAGCCTCATTGGCCACCACAACTACGCAAAATAAGCAAAAACTGAAAGAATGGCTATCTTTCCTGAAATTGAGCTAAAATGTGGAGTGATGATAGTTCAGCATTTTCGACTCATCCTCCAAAAGCTAACTGAACATGTCAGCTCTGTTTTAAACTTTGCAGTTAACTTGTCTATCTGTTAGCAAAATATCTTATATCTCAAGCATTAGCAGTTGCTTTATCAGAGGATGATGTCGTCCAATGCTGCTAAAACTGCTATTACTGCTGCTATCGCTGCTAATGCTACTAAAGCTGCTTAAGATGGCATTTGAACTTTGTATTCAAAATGTAACTATTGAAAACAATATTGATAGCACCTGTGGTCCGGAAGTTTGAAGTGCAACTTGGATAATGGCTGCAATTGCAGGTTTGATGTCTTATAGAGAAGCGTTAGCAGCATTAGCAGCATTAGCAGCATTAGCAGCTAACAACAGCAGTTGCTATTGTTGTAGGATGATGACGGCCCAACAAAAGCTGCGTTCCATTCTGAAATATTTAAACTTAAACTTCAACTTTTAGTCACAAGATTCAAGATTAAACTTCTACATTTAGATTTACAATTTAATATTTACATATATTTTTTAACAATTAAATTGAGCATTTAGTAAAAATTTAGTAAAAAATTTAAGAACAGTGGGCTATAACAATAAAATGTTATTGAAAATTTTTAACTAGGAAGAAAAAAATAAAAATAAAAAGAAAACGAACCCATCCAGAGGACCTACTTAAATTTTTGATTTTTCCACCTGGATAACTGAGATGCATCAGGATATTTAACTAGTATATTACACTCAGAAAAGTGAAATAAATAATGTAAATGTGTTAAATACATTTTTAAACATTTTTTGTTTAATATTTTAAAATAATAATAACAACCCACTAATAATGGAACTGTTTTAGTAAGATTTCAAGTTCAATTTCTGGCATAAAAAGGGGAGAGTAATTATGCATCCCCTCAAAGAATGCTAAATCTTTAATATGTTGTTGATGTAATTTTTTTGTAAATATGTGTAATTCATATTTTAGTGTTTTAATTGTTTTTCATTTTGTTATGCAGCAGGACAGACCTTTTATATACACCATAAAAAAGAACATCCTGTGGCCCCACTGACAACTAGATCAGCTCACTGGCCTGAATATTCCTGCAAACACTAAATGTGTTTCTGTCAGTTCGCATCACATGCATCCTGCATGATGGGAACTTCCTGTGTGTTTGTAACCGTACACAAGGAGCTGGAAGTGAATAGTCTAATCAGCTGAGGGCCCACTTATGGCAAACTAAAGCTCTGTTATGAAGCACAGGTACAACAGTGTGACACTCATGTTTATTTTTGTTCATGTCTGTGCCTGCAACTTGCACACAGCTGTACATCATGCCAGGAAATTAAGTGTATTTCCTGCATATATAGTGCAACATGCCATAAAGAAGTAGTTCTCATGTGGTTTAGTGGCACGAAGGAAGCCGCTGTAACCTCCAGTGTCATTAAGCTGTCTCATCTTGCATGCATCAGTGATTTAATGTTCTATAAAAAGGATAACTACCCTAAAAAGACACCTTTCCTGTCTCAGCACCATGGGGCCACAATGGTGCTGCGCCTTCTGGCTAACATGCCATTCATGGAAATATGACAAGGACACGGCCCCAATGACTTCTTCCAGCTCTGGGTCTGCATGGACCTGATAAAGACACATAATTACACAGCTCCATTTATCTCTGCAGGTCATTCCAATCTCTACCTGATGATGATGGTCAGAACTTTCACGCACCGTACTGGAGCTCAATTTCAGATAACATTGTCTTCACCATTTGAATCAGCAGTTCTTGTCCTGTAGATGTAGCACTGCAGCAAGCTTTAAACATTTTTTTTAACGATAAAGTGGTTTTACATTTCTTAGGTTAACCTCCAGGGAGAAGATCAAAAGATCCAAGCAATGCATTCACATCTCCTGCAGTTAATTAAATAAAATTCATTAATTAAGGGTTATTGTAATGTTTGCATTTGTGYATTTATTTAAAAAACAAGACGTTTTTACTAAAGATGAAGTTGCAGACGACGTATAGAAGATAAAAATAAAATGATTTATGTAGGTTATACAAAAATATGTGAAAATGTTTTCATTTTAAGCATCACAGAGAGACAGGTTTAAGAAATCTTGAAAGAAAAACTGCTAGAAGTGGGACAAATACTCACCTATAGTGAGCAACACTTTAAACTGAAAGGTATCATCATAAACAACTGAAAGCCTTTGTCTCAAAAGTCTGTGTTCTTTGTAAAAAGCTGGCTTAAATACAAAATCTGCTCAACCTCAAATGACTTTTGTCCTTAAAGTAGCGTGCTCTTTATGTGCAATCCCATGGTATCAAACTGAAAGACCTTAATGAGACGCAATCATAAGGCAAGATTGAATTATTGATGGAACCCTAAATTGGTATTGACTGAGACTCATGTTGAAATGGAAATGGAGGCRACAACCTATACACTTCTAAGAGATGTCACAACCCTGCTGAATATATTTCCAGAAGTCCTTTATGAAGAAAAGCCATTTAAATCTCCTCTTCCTGAATATCTGCTGGTGTTTTACTGTTTCTCACAAACAGAGCAGAGCAGGGGGTAAACATAAAGATTCATACAGGCATGTACACAGATTAGGCCAAGAATCACAACCAGGCTTCTTCTAAAACAATATATGACACGTTGGAAGGCAGTATATTGAAAATTCTTTTAAAAGCAACACTTTGTAAGTTGCAGAATTGTGACCTGCATTGTAAATTTTGCCAAAGCTGCTATTTATATTCATAGACCTTTAAAAAGCCTGTTACACTCCAGGTGGCAGGTATTCAAGTCTTATGAACTCACACGCTTTAGACTCCCTTCAGATTTAATGTGAAATATGTGAGAACAGGTTTCAAAACGTCAAATTTAAACCCAGTTTTTACAAGACAAGTCGTTTCTAAGTTACGAAATAAAACGATGGATTGTATCACTAAATATTCTCATTAAAAGGCAAGAAGTTATAGTTTTTAGTTTAAGATTTTATATTTAAAATCAATAGCTCCCATGAGGTTTACTTGTCATTCATTTCCTATTGCCTAATACATTATACTCTGCATTAACAGGCTGTTTGTCTCATACAGTATGAGTAATTTTGCAACAGTTATTTTCTTGAAAGCTGGTTTATTCATCTTTTTTTTAAACTAAAGTCAAAGTCTTTTGTTAAAAATATTTTTCAGGCAGTAAAAGCCACGTTKCTGTTCTCATGTCCTTTTAGTTTAAAGAGGCTCTTGAAATAAGAGACATAAGTCCAATCCTCTGGTCTATTCTCACATCATTGTCCACACAGTTGCAATAATGGGTGTTTTTACAGTAGGTGCTGGAGGAATCAGATTGATCTGACAAGGTGCGATCTCGCTGTGTATGTGTAAGATAAAATGGTGCCCTGTGTTAGATTAAAGGAGTGGAAATAACCTGCTGCACTTGAGTCTGAGACAGTCAGGTGTGAAATTAAACTGGAAACAGAGACGGCCAGCTATTGTTCAAAACAGAACGAACCAGCTCCTGTATGCGTGATTGTAGATCAAATGGAGCTTTCTTTTAGATTAAGATAAGTTTTGTGTAATATGTGCAGTGTTACGTTTTAGATTTTTATGCAAATATTATCTAGTGTTCCATTGGTGTTATGGCAGTTTCATGTGTTTAATGTGTCRCTGATCTGCGGCACAATGACACTAAAATCATCATGTTCCATATCTGGCTTTAAATATTCCATATCTCCATTGTTGTTGTTACCTGTTATGGTGAGAAAGGTTTATGTCTGTCTGTGGGTAAAAATCCTGGCCTGATCAAGACCCCTGGATGGATATTTGGATGTTGGTAGGAATGAAGGATTAAAGTAATGAGAAGGTACAGACTACACCAGTGGTTCCCAAACTTTTTATCTTCTGACCCACAAACTATCCATGGCAAAAACTTGTGACCCCAAATATTACCGGTCTGAGTACATGAACTTCGTTAATAACCCTAAAAACACAGGCTTTTTGACAATCTAAACAGCTTTTACACAAATGTAAATACTTATTTATACTTATTTTGTGTTTTTGTAATAATTATATGGAAAATATTACATCAGCAATTACTTTATTACCTTTTAAATTGATTTATGGAGATTATCCAAGGTGCTTCATGACCCATAATTGGGTCCCAAACCCAACTTTGGGAACCAAAGTGCAGTGGTTCCCAAAGTTTTCAGCTTTTGACCCAGAAAATAACAGTAGTAGAGACATGTACCCCCAACTATTTTTGTATGATAAACATTTGTATCAGGTCAACAAAACATGGGCATAGTAACAATATTTTTTATATTACATTTATCCATTTTAAATATACTAACCTCACTCCTTTGTAACAACTAAGCCATAAATGTAATTAATTCCGAAAATCTTTTCAGGACCCCACCTTGATGTTTCGGGACCCCACTTTGGGTCCCGACCCCACCTTTGGGAAACACTGTTCTATGCTATGTATGTCCTTAAAAAAAACTAATTTGTTAATTTGTGGTACATTTACAGAAAAACACCTGGTCCTTTTAAGGTATTACACAACTTTTTCGTGTTTGTGTTGCTCAGGTTTTGTCACATTTGATCATGAAGGAGAAATGTGTGATTTTATTAGAGAAAAATCCACGCGGTTTAATGAAAACGGAGTTTTTTCTCCACCTGGGACCTCCCTGTTTCCTCCACTCCTCCTACAGACCGTCACCTAACTTCCGGCCGCTCGCTCTCTCTCGCTTCTCCTGCTCAATCATCCTGTCTCTCCTTCAGTCTCTGTTTAACTCGTTCTCCTTCACATGTGAAACCGGATCAGTCATGTCAGTGTGTGAACGCTCCGGTCGGGACTCGGTTTCTTTGGATTAGGGGGCTCGGTTTGTCTCCGCCCGGTGTTCGTATTCGGACTCCCCGAGTTTTATTGGATTGGCCCCTCAGCGGCGGCGGGAGACAACTGGTCTTCGGTTTTCTTCTTGTCCCAGCAGGATTAAGGACGTGGGGGAATTGCTGTGGAAAAAAAAGGAGGAAGAGGCGTGAAACAGCAGTGAACATGTTTAATCGTCTCCTGACACTCGCTTGTTCTCTTTTATTATTCGGTAAGACACGACTCTTTTCTTGAATATTAATGGCTAATTAATTCCAATGGCATTCTGAGCTGGAAAGTCATTTCGAATCCCGGTTCGGAAAACCGTGATTTTAACGTTTCATTGTTTTCAGGCGCATTTAAACACACTCTAAAGGTAATTTTAATCAATTTATCATCTATAAAGCACACGAATCAATTCGGCATAAATTTAATCCATAAAACCACAGCTATTTCTAATATATTTAAACTTTTACTACTGCTTCCTACTGCTAGCAGCGCCCTTCTCTTGTGAAATTGATGGGTGAAATCCAGCGAGGGCAACCAGCTAATGGTTTCAAAAAGCTGCCATTTTAGTTGATTTTAGGCTAATTTGGTTAAGCCGAACGAAAGAACACATCCTTAAACAATAGAATTTACAAATTTACTGATCTACATTAAAGGGTACGTGTCAGTTCAGAAAGATTACTTAAAAATGCCGTATTTTTAAATGGAGTTGAATTGTACAAAAATCAAATCAATTTAGTGAGGTTTGAATGTACTCAAGTCAATTCCACTGTAAAGCCATCTAAGCAAGCATGTAAAAACTGGAAAGTGTAACACACTTTCACTTTCATTTACCAATTTTAGTCATGTTCAGTAGTAAAATAACACACCTATTTTCATGAAGCAACAGAAATGACTTTCATTAGCTAAACCTAACCAACAAGGAAACAAGCAGCATTTCCTTCTCAGTGTGCCAAACTGTAGCCTAAGTTAAATGATTTAACACTCCCTTTCATTTAAGTCAACTGAATGAGGTAAAATATTGATTGCTTATTGTTATTTAGTTAGTGTCTCAGCCAAGTTCAACCCCTCATTAGACTAAATGGCTGCATTTCTCCTAAGAGCAGTTTCTCCAGATTGAGGCCGAAAGTGTTAGTCAAACTGGTCTGCTTCTTATCAGTGCCAGTAACTTTTTTGCTTCAGGTAACAGTACCTCCATTGGACCGGTTTGAGATCAGTCGTTAAGCTGGTTTTCTCCCACAAGGACAAACATGGTCTTGTTTGCTGTCCTACCTGGGCTCTGAAGCTGCCATATGTTTGTGAGCATTACAGTCAGTGCTGTAGGGGTTCTCTAGTGTGTGTGTGTGTGTGTGTGTGTGTGTGTGTGTGTGTGTGTGTGTGTGTGTGTGTGTGTGTGTGTGTGNGGTCAACAAAACATGGGCATAGTAACAATATTTTTTATATTACATTTATCCATTTTAAATATACTAACCTCACTCCTTTGTAACAACTAAGGCAAAATGTAATTAACTCAGAAAATCTTTTCAGGACCCCATCTTGATGTTGGGTCCCGACCTCAACTTTGGGAAACACTGGACTACACTGCACTGAAGTGTGGATTTGAATCAGACATCATGGACTGAACTCACTCTGTTCAGGTCTATCTCTGCTGAAGATGAGCCAAACTAGAAGGAGGTGAGTTAAAGGTAAAGAGATGAAGAGCAGGAGATGGATGTAAGGTGAAGGAATAAAGGGTGAGATCAGTAAAAACTGATGAGGGGAAGGAAGGTTTTATTGACATTGACTTCATGTAAAAACAATGTATGTGCCATATTTGTTTAATCTCATTGTTCATTTTTTCAACCTGAAGTTTGATTTATATGTTTATGTAGAAAATTACACCAACCAGCCAAAACATTCTGACCAATGAAACCAAAGTGAATTTGCTAATCTAGAACACAATGATCTGATTAAAAAACTGCTGATTTATATTTATATATATATATATATATATATCTATATTTATATTTATATATATCTGTGTGTTTAACAAGCTGCATGGTGGTGCACTCATAGAGCAGTTGTTTCAGCAAGAAGATACAATCCTAGCTGGGGATTTAAAAGGTGGAGTTTGTTTGTTCTCCCTGTGCACTTGTGGGTTTTCTCCTTTCACATGCATAAATGCTTGGCTAATTGGTAACTCTAAATTGTCCCTAYAGGTGTGAGAGAGTGAGTTGTTGTTAGACTTGTTTGTGTGTCTCTGTGATGGACTTGCTACATGTCCAGTGTGTCCCCCTGTCCCTCACACAGTAACTGCTGGACTTGGTGATCCTGCAACGAAGAAGCAAGTAAAATATTTTAAACATGTTTTAGTTAGTAATTAATGCTGAATAACTTTTATTTCCCGATGTCTATTTTTTCAGCTCTTAATACAGATTATTTCCATTTTCTTTTTTCTATTCTATATTCTGAACTCAGCGTGTGTGAAGATTAAATAAATAAAATGTTTCTGAATAGATGTTTGTTTGAAAAAAAAAATGCAGTGAATTTCCACTATAGACCAATTTTTTTTACCAAACATTGCAACGGAGACAACATTTAGATAGAAAACACATTTCCACCTTTCAGAGCCAATCAGATGAAGTTTCTGATCCCTGCCTTGGGAAGTGAGATAAATGGGGGAAACTTGGATTTATGAGCTTATATCCACTGGTAGCTCACACCACAGATGGTGGTGATAAGGAGAAAAAAACCATCACAGAAAAGAAAATAAATTTAATACAAAATCAAAAGTAGATATAAACCAGATGTACACCAGAAAAGGAACAATCCTGATCTATATCTATCACTACAGTGCACCAAGTCGGTCTATACAGTATGCACGTCTTCAGGGAGGAAAATGCTGCGTACTGAATTATTGAGTTGAATTTTCACGGGCTGAAGGTCAGATAGCGAGGGGGGGAAAAACCCCTAATGAAAAATTGATGTCTTCATATTGTCAGCCAAGGCGAGGGCCAAAATTTCYAAATCTGCACAGATGATTATTTCCAAAGTCAACACTGTCAAAATGATCTCTCACGAAGGAACAAACTCTGTAAATATRAACTTTAACAAGAAATAAAAAGCTGCAGCTTATGACAAAGTGGCAGTCTTTCACATTAGAAACATAGAAGTGGATGAAATTAGTCACTTAACCTATATGATTATTAAGTAATAATTATGATTACAATCTCCATTACCTCATCATTTATCTTTAAGGAGCTTTGCAGATTTATATGTCCCCTGTGCAGTGAAACTTTATTCCACTAAGATTTCTCAAGCAGGAGAAATCCATTGTGGACTAATTGGATTATCAGTAGAGAATTACAAAATGATCTCACAGCTTTGCCGCAGTCCTTTTAATGAGCTCTACCCTCATAAATGCAGCACCGGCCTTCTCTTATGGCCTAATTGATATTTCATTAGTACCTTTTCTATTTATGATTTTAATGGCTTGTCCTATTGAGGTAAAAGGAGGGGCTGCTGCTGGGACCAGCCTAGGGTTTTCTTCTTGGATATATTCTCGGCTTCAGTGTGGATAACATGGGATCTAATAAAAAGATAAATCAGGATTTATGCCTTTACCCTTTGGAAACATGGCTCGCAGGAGCAGAGAGTCATTAAACCGATCTAGATGTCCCTGTGCTTCGAGCAGACGGACGTGGAGTTTAGGTGCCTTGCTATTTCATGAACAGAATTTGAAACTTTCCATTTATAGCAAATAGAATCAGATCATCGTACTCTAAGGCTCGACACATTATTTTCTAAAATGGTAAAAAAAATACTATTGAAGCCTCTTTCTCTGAGGACTCAAATGCAGAAAATAATTTGAGGCAGTTTATTGGAAAGACAAGAATGAGCTTTTCATTTGAGCAAATGTGGAAAAGTGGAATCCAAAAATAAAAATCCATCAAAATGAGGCAGGAAATAAGCACAAGTGCAAACAAAAACAATGATTTTACTCTAAAAGTGGCATATTTGTAAGATAATTTATAAAACTTTACAAAAAAGAGGAGCGAGAACTTGTTTTGAGTCGGTTTAGAAATGGCAGCATTCTACGAAATAATGACAGAGTTTTAAACAAAGATCTGTCAAATAGTTCATGAAATATTTTGCTAACAGACAAACAGCCGATGAACAGACAAACACAATCTCTGACTTAATTGTTGGTTGAGTTAGGGTGTAATAAGCAATAAATGAGTTAATGGATTAATCCTGTCAAATAAGAGCGTCCTCCTCCTCCTCTCTCTGCATCTGTCCTGAGACCCTCTGAACCACCTGGCAATTACTTTCATTTGGACAAGATTGAATGAAACAACTCCACACAGTCAGATGAGACTGCAGGGGCATCTTTTCTGCAGCGGACCTCATTAGGTGTCTATCCAGGACAGAAAAGCTGAAGTTGCCGTGGCCTCGTTTGCATATATTTGTTTTTTCAGGACCTAGATGCAACCCAGCGCAGCCACGAAGGTGGAGGTGCCGTCCATCATACAGTAACAAGCTGCACACCAAAGAGGCCTCATTACACACAGAGGCCACTCGGCTAATGACTTGTGAGAAAGCAAAGCCTTGTTTTGTTTGAAGAGACAGGATGTGTGAGTGCGGCTGCTTACAGGGAGTGTCCACGCTCACATTACAGTAGGGAGTTGTCTAAACCACGGCACAATGGATTTCCTCAGATCAAAGAGGAAGGACTTTGATGAATGTTGTTCATTAGGCACAGCCGAGTGGGTTTTAGGGAGACAACCTGCACACTTCAAGGGAGGGCAACGGTAAACAAAAATATTACTAATAATAAAAAAGTCAGAGGTGAATATGAATAATATAATGCAGCAATATGGAAACAATACTCCAAAAACTACATTTTGCCTTAGTTTTCATGGTGACCACCAGGTGGAGACATTCATCTTGTGAGTGAAACCTTTCCTGGTGCTTCATTCACAGTCCACACATCACTCTGACCTGCAGCATTTTCAGTATTAATCTGAAATAAATGGGGTAGTGTGTCAGTGCAAGAAATAATGTGTTAATCTGAGGGAATGAATAATGGGCAGCCATTAAAATAAAAACACTGCCACTCTGTGGGTAAAACCCACTGCCCTACAAGTGTACATGACGGATTGTGTTATGGATGGAAGGTGATGCTCACAAAATGGGGAATGACAGATGGAGTCATCCTCCACTCATTAATATCTACAACTGGATGATGAGTTTAAAGTCAGCCTCTTCTGTCTGTGCAGGAGTTCAACTGAGCCGTAGGTGGTTGTGTTCAACACGTGCACAACCGCTGTCAGTAATGTACAAGAAACCTAAGTTACAATGGTTCTAATGGGCTTCAGAGGCTGATTTTATTTTACTGCCAAAAGGAAGGAAAGCCAGATCGGGTTCTCGAGCTTGCAGTGAAACAAATTGATTGGGTTTGCAGTTCTCCTTTTTTGTCAAAAAAAAAAAAAAAATTGGAGAAAACTCAGTGGTTAAAAGAAGCTTTCCGAGACACCACAGATTCAATTCTGGAGATATGAATACTATTTTCTAATTCGGTCCTCAGAAAATAAATGGACAGACAGCGAATGGGGGCTGGTTTAGGCTGTTATATATATGAAAATACTGTGCTCACAGAATCCCGCCTCTTATATTCATTTCAGGTCCAAAGCAATTCAATTTCACTTTATTTCAGCAGGAAAATTCACTCAGCATCTATACTGCCTCTCATGTGGCCTATGGGGATAGTGTATATGAAAAACATAGGGCACTAGAGAGGGTTTCTAGAAAGAAAAATAAACAATAATAGCAATAACAGTCTGTGCATTATGTATTGACGTTGTATTTTCACACCATACAATATCCTAGGATCAGTTTAATTTGTCTGCATTTTAGTGGGTTTGCTGTAAGCTTTAAAGAAGAGAATCAACTTTAAAAAACAAACAAAAAAAGAAAAGAAGACAAGCTAATTCTATATATGCTGGTTTGTAGCTTTAATACAGAACAGTCTCATCTCTACCAGGTTTTGACAGCTGCACACTGAACCTTTGGCCCATTCTTTTTTTTTTATTTAAATAATTCAAGCGTGGTCCCATTGGGTGTGGAGAGTCTGTTAACAGCAGTTTTGAAGTCTACGGTGTGTTCAGTAAGTTTTTCAAACCATTTCGCTTTCTGGCCCAAAGACTTTTGATGGTTTTTGTACAATTTTTACATTTATCTGCYACGCCTCCATAAAGGCCAGATCTGTGGACTAACTTTCATCAGGTACACAATTTCTCAYCTGAGATGTGGATCTCTGCAGCTCCACCAGAGTTAACGTGGGGTTAAAAGAGTTGCAGATGTGTCACATTCTTCCCAGCTGACTATGGATTGATCAACACTAAATGAGATGTGCAAAGTTATGATGTGATTTTATAACCTAACMCTCAGCGTTATCCCTGACCTACCTGTGTTGTTTGGTCTTCATGATGTTGATTAATCACTAATGTTCCGTAGCAAACCTCTGAAGCCTTCAGAGAACAGTTGAGCTTAAATTCCATACTCAGTTTACTATGTAGATGACTTCTCAAGGTAAAGGCATCAGAGTAAAGAAGGCTAAATACAAATGGATGCCACATTATTTAGATTTTTATTTGTGAAATATTTTCAGAATGTTTTCCTCCCTTCCTACAATTGTGTACAAATTTGTGTTGGTCTATCACAGCGGTCTGCAGCCTTTACAATCATAAGAACCATTTCTGGTCCTTGGCTCACTAAAAAAAATACGTCTGGAGCCGCAAAACATACTACAACTCTATCAACTGGTGGCTCGTGGGCCACTTTGGGTTTGTTGAAGTGGGGATTTTCCAGCAGTTTTGGGTGACATTATAAAATAAAAAATATACAATTAATTTTAACACATTACTATTTTTAAACTTTGGGATGAAAGAAAAGACTATACTCATGTAAAC